GATAGATAGATAGATAGATAGATAGATAGATAGATAGATAGATTCCCCGGCTGTGGCGGAGTGGTTAGGGGAGTTGTCCTGGAACTGGAAGGTCACTGGTTCGATCCCCCGTCCAGCCGTCTCAGTCGTTGTGTCTTGGGCAAGACACTTCACCCACCTTGCCTACTGATGGTGGTCAGAAGGTCCGGTGGCACCAGTGCATGGCAGCCCCACCCCTGTCAGTGTGCCCCAGGGCAGCTGTGGCTACAGTGTAGTTTGCCATCATCAGTGTGTGAATGGGTGAATGTCTGTTAGTGTAAAGCACTTTGGGGTCCGGAGGGACTTGAAAAGCGCTCTATAAGTTCAGTACCATTTACCAATAAATAAATAAATAAACAATTTAAGCAGCAACGATGTGAAGGAAGCTGCTCCTGTCCTACCACAGTACATTAGTAGTTATATTCAGTAAAATGACTTGACTGTGCAGATTTCTTACACCGTTCTCTTTAACTTCAGCACATTCCTGGCTGTTAGAGTCTTCCTTTGGTTCTGTTAGTGAGCGCAGATACTCCTTAGCTAAAATCTCCACCTAGAAATCAAAAAGGGGGAAGAAACAGTTTGAAAAAAAAAAAAAAAACTAAAAGAAAAAGCATGTTTACACCCAGAATGCATCCAAAATTCAGAACTTACCCTCCATTTGGTGAAATCACTGACTGAACTGGGACCAAATTTAACTTGATGTCTGGCAGTGTTCACAAAGTTCTTCTCTAAACTGGACATTTTCTCAGCTGTGATGGGATCTGGAAGACTGAAGCTTTTCTCCCATAACGCAGTAATCTGAAATGAATCAACAAATTGTAGAACAAGAGGCATGGGCACAGATCATACAATATAGGATGTTTGCTCTATTTTTGTGTTTCTGTTCTACTTTTAACTACCACTTTGTCACTTTAACTATTTTTTTTCCTATTTTAACTTTTAGCTGAACAAACCAAACTACAAGTATGTCACTGAGAGCCACAGTTAGGCATAAAGTCAGTATAAAACATAAAAAAAGAACAAATAAAATGTTGATTTCATACCCTGGTCATCAGGTTGTCTCTATAAACAAATCTTAAGTGGTTGGCAGTGGTGCTGATATCTTTGCTGTTGTAAATCCTCAGGTTTGGCAGCAACACCATCAGCTTGTAATTGTCACTCACCTAAAACAAAGTCAGCATGAACAATTAAGTTAACACTTTTTACACAACAATAGGCTTCATTTTCTCTTATCGTAAAACTTCAACACATTCAGACCTGAATGAAAACACACTATTAAAATAAATAAAAGTAAAATATTGCTTTGAGTAATAAAACATAATTCAACAATACATGAAAAAAATGCAGCATTTAAAAGAAAATATCTTCATAGACAAAAACATCTTGTGAAGCTGGTGAAAAGTTCTGAAAAAGTAGCTCTGTTAGCTGTTTTTTTTTTTTTTTATCTGTTAAGACGCAGCAGAGCCAGTGAGCGGAGGAGGGAAATAAAGCACCACCTACTATGTTTTTATTTTTAAGGTAAAACATAAATTAGGTAAACAGAAGATATACAGTATTTGCTATTGATTCTGGAGAAGACCATCAAATTTGAAGAAAAAAAAGGTGTGCATGTGTGGGGATTATGTATTTTCCAGGTACCTACGGTAGTTCAAGTCTATACCACAATCAGAACTATGCTAACTTCTTGAAACTTTTTGAAAAGCTGCATATCAAAAATAAATTTGACTCAGCATCATAGTTGAATCTAAACACCTTAAAATCAGCCTCTGTCTCTATGAGTACCTCCTACCATTTCAGACACTCCCCTTTAGCACATTAGAAAGCTTAAACAAGTCGATTTTCCATAATCCTCCCCTTAAAGAAGCTAGCTATGAAAGCCTGGTTCTCACAGTGATATAAAAGTTGTCGTCCATCTTCAGCTCCTCCAAGCTGCTCAGCGACTCCAGGGTGGTGACGTCTTCCATCTGGTTGTCGCTGAGGTCCAGGTATCGGAGTTTACGCAGCTCCAGTTTCTTGGGAAACTCCTGCAGTCTGTTTCCAGACAGATCCCAGCGCTCCAAGGAGCACAGGCGGGACAGCAGCTTGACAGGTAGGTCCTGCAGCTTCAGCCCCATCTTGGACAAACTGAAAAACAAACAGAACCACAGGTCAGCCTTTCCATGTAGCTATGTTTCAATTTTTTTGTTGTACTCCTGTAACTTCGGATGAGATCGTATGAATTTTTCCTTCTACACATAAAAACTGCAGCAAAAAATAAGTACATAAAATCAATTAGACCCAAACAGAGCAATACAAAAAAAAAAAAAAAAAAAAAAAAAAAAAAAAACTTACTTCAATGTTTTGATTTGCTCCAGCTTGTCTGTTCTTGGAGAGCCTTTCTCCAGTAAAACTTTCTCTGTTATTTTCTCCATTGCTTATCTGTAGGAACAATCACACTACAGAAAATAAAATGGCAAAAAGTCAATAATAGAGTGTCAGTTGTTGAAAAGCTGCAATTTGTAATATCAATAAGTTTTGAAGAGTCATATTTTGTTTGTTTCAAAACGGCTGACCGAGGTTAACAAACATTTCTTTAGTGATGTTTTTGGAGACAAATTTGGTTCTTGTTGTGTTTTATATAGTTGCCACGATAAAACACTCTGATTTAGTCTCGTGCTAAGTTTGGCTAATTTGGTAGAACAAACAACATATTTATTTATTTAATTTTTATATATCCTCCGGTTATGTGTCATACTACAACCGTACATAAGATATTACTTTATACATGCTCAATTCTCTAATATTCATGAATAAAAGTACTTACAAACTCTTCATCAACTTTTACTCAAGCGGCACCTCAACAAGACCTTTCCCGGGGAAACTCTGTCTACATCCGGTGGGCGTGGCTTAAACCTTGGTAAGCTTCTCCCTGCGWTTTGTCTGCAAGGCAAATACGGACAAGGCAACAGGTTGTTTTAGTAATTTTTTTTTTACAGTCTATGACTTCAGTACACTTGGATGCACATGAACCAAAGATTTTGAAGAATATTTTAAATATGTTTGAATTGATAAAAAAATTGCAAATTATTGAGTGGGTTTTGACGCTTTTCTCCTCTAGATGGCGACAGTGAGGAGATGGTAGCTGTTTGGCGCTTCAGTTCCCGACGTAAGAAGAAGATGCAGCACGATGATGGCTCCTGACGGCAGTGACAATGGTAGTTTATGCGCTTGTAAAGGCATCCGGCGGTGTCTCGCATGTGAAAAGTTTAAGGAAAAAGTACAGCTCAAGGAAAGCGAATCGAAGGTATATAGATATACGACTAAAAACTTTATTTGATCGTTTTTCTATACGCGATACAAAACTTGCTACGGAAGCCGTCACAGGACAGTTATTTATTTACTAAAATATTACAACACAAATGAAACAAATACACTCTTGTAAGCTGGGTTAAAAATAACATTTTATATTGATCGATTGTTTTAAACAAGCTTTTTTTTTTGGTCAGCTGTTTTAATTTTGTGTACAAATGTTTCTTTTTTTATGTGATTTGTTTTAAAACAGGAAATTAAATGACTGGCAAAAAATGCAAAGGTACCTCAACCAACAAAGCTAGTAATAAGCGTGACATAAAAAACATACACCACGCATACAGAGCAATATTCACTATATACTGCATATTACCATATCGAAAATAGTTGTCACACTAACCAAAATAAATAAATAAAAATCATACATACATGGTGCTTTTTCACTGTAACGGAGAACAAAAAGAAAACCTTTTAGGAGTGAATAATTAACATTTCTTGTAGTCTTTAGGTAGGATTAAGGAGAAACCAGAACTATTCAAATAAAAGTTGTTTAATCATTGATTCTGAGTCTGCACCAGGACAAAGTTTCCATCATTTATAAACAGCATTGCAGAGATGTTACACGTAGACGATTAGTTACACACTTACGCACAGACAAAACAAAACAATAAACCATCTCTGGCAAAATAAGTAAAAGCAAGATTTGTTTTTCACAAATCTTGTTCCCTTTTGTTTTGGTCTGAAGGTTGTGCATTGTTTCCTCTACAATCCCAAGACGAAGCTCGCTGTGTGCAAAGATGGAGAAGGCGCTTCTTTCCCTTTTCCTGGTGTCTTCCTGTGGGAGAACTTTATATCAGAGGAGGAGGAGAAACAGCTGATTAGCTCAATGGACCAGGATGTGTGGAATCTGTCGCAGTCTGGCCGACGGAAGCAGGTTAACCTGAAACCATCCAATGGAAACACACATTTTAGTCCAACTCTGCAAAATAGTAAAGTCAAAAGTGAATGTGACAAAGTTTTTATTGAAATAAAAATATCTTGTTACTTGGTTGCAGGACTTCGGCCCAAAGGTAAACTTCAAGAAGAGAAAAGTGCGCGTAGCAGATTTCAGCGGTCTTCCTGCTTTAAGCTACAAACTASTGCTGCGGATGCAGGAAGAGCCGAGCCTGGCGGGCTTTCAGCCAGTGGAGCAGTGCAATCTGGATTATGAGCCTCAGCGAGGCTCGGCCATCGACGCACACCTGGACGACTCGTGGCTGTGGGGGGAGCGGCTGGTGACGGTCAACATGCTATCAGAGACCGTGCTCACCATGTCTCTTGAGCAGGGCCTGTCAGAGCTGGGACTAACAGAGGAAGTCCATGTGGCTGTACAACTTCCTCGCAGGTGTTTGGTAGTGGTGTACGGTGAGGCGAGGCATAGATGGAAGCAYGCCATCCATAGGGAGGATATTCATGAACGCAGGGTCTGCAGCACATACAGAGAACTTTCTGAAGAATTCCTACCTGGRGGGCAGCAAGCAGAGCTGGGAGCTAAACTGCTGAATATTGCTCTAAGCTTCAAGGGAACTCCGTTAAAACCCTATCAGACAGAAAACATAATATAATAAACAAGCATGATTTAAACTTTGTGCCTACTATTGGTGCTAGAGTGTTTGATCCTTATTTGTCTTCCATAACCTCAGCAAAGTAGTAAAGTCTATCTACTCCTCATCCTGTTTTTAAGCCTACTATGGCTGTTTTTGTTTCACTTAATGACTGGTTTTCCACCTTCATATGTAAATAGTGATTATTGGCACCTGCTGGGTATAATTGGTTAAAAATACACCTGACAACAGTTCTACTAAAGCAGTGCACTAACTAAAAGCTAAAGAAGCAAAACATCCATCCATCCATCCATTTTCTTCCGCCTATCCGGGGTCGGGTCGCGGGGGCAGCAGCTTCAGAAGGGAGGCCCAGACCTCCCTCTCCCCAGCCACTTCTTCCAGCTCCTCCGGGGGAACTCCAAGGCGTTCCCAGGCCAGCCGAGAGACATAGTCCCTCCAGCGTGTCCTGGGTCTTCCTCDGGGCCTCCTCCHRGTGGGACKTGCCYRGAAYACCTCACCAGGGAGGCGTCCAGGAGGCATCCTTACCAGATGCCCGAGCCACCTCAACTGGCTCCTCTCGACGTGGAGGAGCAGTGGCTCTACTCTGAGCAAAACAGTAGCTCCTTTAGTTTTAGCTTCTAGCTCTAGTGTTCTTCTTCAGCTAATTTCAGCAAAGTCAGAATATCTCATTTATTTTAGAGTTTTGTTTCAATAGCTTTATTTGTGAGTCAATTTAAAAAGCAATTAAAATAATATTTGTGAAAATAATCTTAATTTACAGCGTGTTTAAAATGCACTGTACTATATATTTGTGCTTTAAATATGCAGAATAAAATTGCCATTTTAAAAAATCAGACTGTATTTGTTTTTATTTGCTATTGATTGCTAAATAAAGGTTGTGTTTGCATGCAGAACCGCTGCTCTAACCGGGCTTCACTTATTGACCATGCTTTTATTGTGAAAGTCCGACCGGACATCCGTGTTTACTTTAGCTGCTCCTCAACCTGTTTGTTAATCGCGCTGTGGCTTATTAACACCCAAGTCCGTAATAAGCCGGGTTCATAACTCAGGGAGGTTTTACCCACCGTCGCCAGGAGGAGCCAAGCAGCTCTTTGGATACAGATACAACAAGCTGTCGGTGTGGTWTGTCGCCAGCTTGTAATTTGGTGTCGGAAATGAAACGGAGAGGCTTTTTCAATGTAGCTTGTTAGCTCTGCCTGCGTTGGTTGCGTACAGTCAGTGGTACACACACACTGGCTTTTTGTTCTGCTCTTGGACAGCCTCTGCATGACAAATTATCGCCAGTGTTTAGTACAGACAGGGCGGTGAAACAGCGGGTGCTCTATTGAGAAGCGTGTCAAGAAGAAACCCCCCCTGGTTGTCAGCCTCAACCCCCGGGGCTAACCCCCGGTCATCGAGCGCATTAATGGCCGGAAATCCGCGGAGGGGCGCCGGTCTCATCAACTTGATGAAGGACGCCTTTCAACCCCACCAGCAGCCTCTTCAGCCTCACCAACCCGCAGTGGTCGATAAGAAAATGGTGGAGAAATGCTGGAAACTCATGGATAAGGTACTGTCTGACAGTGGCTTTGGGTTGGAATATGTTTAAAWAACTAAACCAGGAAACTTATTTTATCTGACTTGGAGGTCTGTAACATAGATATCATAGATTTCTTATTTATGGCTAAATCTTTTAAACCCCACAACACAAGAGACACCCACACATTTTAACATGTATTAGTCTAAACTGTATGATAAGTGGAGTACAATGGTGCCCCTGATGCATTATCTAATTGGGATGATGTGAAATAGGTCACATTAGTGTCCCTGTGAGGGAAAAGGAAAAAAAAAAATTCAGAAGAGGAGCAGAAGAGGTGGATATGTTTGCATGAGGAAAAGGTTTGGTTCAGTTCATTCATTGCAGCCACTCCAGTTTTATCTCCTCCTGTCTGCTTCGACTTCGATGGAGATAAGCGAAGAAAAGCAGGGAGAGATGAGGAGACAAGACTTCAGAAGATATTAATTCAGGAGGGCTGGAGTTGGAGGGGAGACTTTTAAAGATAAGACAGACTGTGGTATGCTTGTGCTGCTTCAGTTACACCTACAGAATAATGTCCTTGTTGCATAGCCTTTAAGGTGTTAACCTCCCTTTTTCCCTTAGGTAATTGGCTTGTCAAATGGGCAGTAATAACATCTTCATAAAGTTTAGTCTTGTCCCGCAGATCCTTAAAAAGCCTTAAATTCATCAATCCAAAAATAAGGCCTTAATTAGCCTTAAAAGGTCAATCTTCAGAGGTCTTAAAAATGTTAACACATTGTAAGTTGGATGACTGGAATTCGTATCAAACATTAAAATAATTGGTAACTTTTAGTTATTTTTGAAATATTTCCAATCAGGTGTTCCCCTTTGACGCCACTTCCTGTTATTTCACATGCAAATATCTCCACAACCGTCCATCTGAGCAATGTGAAATATATTTTCTAATATGTTAATAATGTTGTCTTTCCAAAAAATGCATTCGTATTTCTTACAAAAAATTTGATGTCACATGCACTTGAAGGTTTCATCTACAGCAAGCTGGGGTCCACTGTGGGTCCTAAAACTCCCAACTTTTGGGTCGAAAAAGGATTTTCAGGAAWTAAATTAAGTTTAAAACTGACTGCTAAGGATGGTTTTTTTTTTGCTATATTTGACAAAAATAACAGATATGGATAAAAACAATTGGTATATTAGCAATATTTGAATACTTCAACCAGAAATAATTTGATTTATGAGTTTCTGCCACAGTTTTAGTTTTTTGGTCATTTGTGTTTATTGTGAAATTGGTCTTAAATTTGATTTCACTCTGTGTTTCTATTTCTTTTACAGAATAATTCTTTATTATGACAACAATTTGTTTTGTTCAAATCTAAATGCAACAGACTCGTGATGCCAAAGTCTGATTAAGTGTAAAAAATCAGACGAGTAGTAAAAATGTTTTAAGATCTTTTTATAGTTGTACGTGAAAAATAGAGCAGTTGTTAAAGTATACAGAAGTGGATCGTGGTCAACATGATTTACCATGAACACAGTCCCTTTTATTATCACGGTATCAGTGTAGTTATGACCTGGCTTATAAGCCATAACAAATTAAAAAAAGAGAAGTATGTTAAAATTGAGCCATTGCATTTCTTATCCAGGTGGTGCGGTTATGCCAAAACCCCAAGGTGGCATTGAAGAACAGTCCACCCTACATCCTCGATCTGCTGCCGGACACCTACCAGCACTTACGCACCATCCTGTCCCGATACGAGGGCAARATGGAGATTCTTGGGGAAAACGAGTACTTTCGTGTGGTCATTGACAACTTGACCAACAAGACGAAGCAGACCATGAGCCTTTTTAAGGAGGCCAAGGAGAGGATGTACGAGGAGAACTCTCAGCCCAGGTAGGCCTACGACCTGACGAGGTCTTCTTCAAACAGTAGGGTTGCTTTAGGAGGTAGAGGAATGTTTGGATGCATGACAGAAGGTACTAAACTAATCAGTGTTTACTTTGGCATCCAGTCGATACAATAAACTTTTATGATTGTGATAATATTCTGATTCTTCCTGGTTTGAAGCTTGGTTATGTCTGATCTTTATGTCTTTTAACCAGTTGCACTTCTCTACAGAATTGATTGGTTGATTTCCAACTAATGAAAAGTTTTGCATAAACAGAAGCGAATATTTCTTCTTCCAAAAACTTCCTTTGCTATGAAGGGTCCGCAATAAGTAACCAAACAAAGTGAAGTGAAGGTTTGGAAATAAAAATGTTTGCAACCACATCAACTTCCTGTTTCTCAGAAAGTGATTGCTAAGCAAAAGTTCATCCTTCCTTTAACACTGATTTTTATCAAGCATTTCCTCATATATCTGCCAGCACATCAGTCACCAGGGATTTAAGTTCAAACACTTCTAACTGAACCATCAAGGTGGTATTCTTTGTATTCTGACACGGTTGATTGCCACAAATCGAATACCACATGTGCAGCTAAATACTTCTTTTTATCAGTCAACATCAGCCTGGGTGTCTTATTCAAAACCCCAATTTTAAAAAGACATTAAGAATTAAGAAGGCAGAAATAGGTTGTGAAAGATTTCTTCTGTGTCTGGTTAAAATCTGCGGCTAAATTGTCAATTTTTTTGTGTGTTTGTCCTGCCAGGCGTAACCTCACAAAGCTGTCGTTGATCTTCAGTCACATGCTAGCAGAGCTAAAAGCCATCTTCCCCAATGGCCTATTTCAGGGCGACAACTTCAGGATTACCAAAGCTGACGCCGCTGAATTTTGGAGGAGGTCATTTGGTGACAAGTGGGTTCCTGCAGTTAAATAGTGATTTATTTATTTATTTTTTGTGGCGCTATACAGTGTTGTGAAGAAGTATTTACCCCGACTAGTTTCTTCTGCTTTTGCCTTTTTTTTCTTTTAGTCATTCTTTAATATTTCATTAGCAAACTAATGTTAATATCAGACAAAGATAACCTAAGTAAATGCAAAAAAAAAAAGATTTACTTTATTAAAGAGCAAAAAGCTATTAACCAACTTGGCCCCATGAGAAATAAGTAATTGGTTCCTAAATCTGATATCCAAACGTTCTTCAGGATTACAAAGTTCAGCAAAAACAGAAAAACTTCAGGGGAGGAAGTATTTTTTTTTGTAAATTATGTGTTTAATTTAATTTCTGGTTTGCAACTTTGAATCTGTAGACATTTTTTATCAGAAAACGTTTGACTTCTTTAATTCAGGACCTGTGAGTTCTTTTCACTCTCTTCGTTTCGCCGTAAGTGTTAGGTTTCAGAGACGTTGTTTTTACTAAAACAACTTCCCTCATCCTTTTTTTTACAGAACCATTGTGCCATGGAGGATGTTTCGTCAGGCTCTCCATGAGTTTCACCCCATAAGTTCAGGTTTGGAGGCCATGGCGCTCAAATCAACCATCGACCTCACCTGCAACGACTACATCTCCGTGTTTGAGTTCGACATTTTCACCAGACTCTTTCAGGTAACGCCTCCAACTTCAAGTCACTCTGAGCATGTTCAAAGTTTTTAGCAAAGGTCGAAAAAGAATCAAAAAATTGTGTATTTGGGGGATTTTGTTTTACTCTATTAAATTTGTCTTTTTATTCATCCAGTGTGTAAATTAGGCAGTGCACAAGAACGTGATCATAAAAGTAGTTGTGGTTTTTAGCACAAACGTGATGAAGCCCCATAAACGATGGTGCAGCAAAATGTCCTGTGCGTCAGCAAACCAGTTTCTGTCAGAACTGAGAAAAGATTCAGTTTTCGGTCGGGTTGGTTTCATTTCTCCTAGTTGCAGAGAAAATGAAAGTTACTAAATAAAAACCTGTGTGTTTGTTTAGCCGTGGTCGTCTCTTCTGAGGAACTGGAACAGTCTGGCAGTCACACATCCTGGTTACATGGCCTTCCTAACCTACGACGAGGTCAAGGCTCGACTGCAGAGATTTATCCACAAACCTGGCAGGTGGGACCCAAACAAGAGTCGTGAGAGTCACTTATCCCTTTGAATTAATAAAAAAGATTGGTTAAGATTGTCTGTGTGTATTTTAGCTACATATTCAGGCTGAGCTGCACTCGGTTGGGCCAGTGGGCGATCGGATATGTAACAGCTGATGGGAACATCCTGCAGACCATCCCTCACAACAAACCACTCTTCCAGGCCCTCATTGATGGATACAGAGAGGGATTGTAAGTCCTGTTTGAACATTTTATCTCATGTTTTGTACATTAGGTTTGCACTTCCCAGACCTCATTCAGATTTGGCACCAACCTCTATCTTCTGCAATCATTGCACTTGAGTAGCTCTAAATATAGTCATAAGCGCTCGWATGCATTAAAGATCAGTTCAGGCTTTTATCTGCATTAGTTGGGCAGTAGGACCGCTTAATGAACTGAAGTGATTCTGGGTGGAAATGATCTCTTTAAAAATAAAAYGACGTATGAGAAACCAAAATAATGTTGGTGGATGAGGCTCATTACCTCTACACACAGAAGCAGAATCTTAACCGTTGTTTGTGTTGTTTTTTTTCCTAGCTATCTTTTCCCAGACGGCCGTGCACAAAACCCAGACCTAACAGGTTTGTGTGAGCCTTCTCCACAGGACCACATCAAAGTTACTCAGGTTCGTTTCATTCTCATCTGCTAATGAATCAGCCCTCCTCTCATAATGCTTTAGTGCAAAGTGCGTCTCAACATTACTCACACTAAAGATAAATAAGGCAGTTTTATAGTCGTCATGTTGTGCTATAAAACAGAAAGCATGTGAGTTAAAAWCATGATAGTGATGTCTCCTCTGTTCTCCCTACAGGAGCAGTATGAGCTGTACTGTGAGATGGGCTCCACTTTCCAGCTGTGTAAGATCTGCGCCGAGAACGATAAGGATGTAAAGATTGAGCCCTGCAGACACCTGATGTGCACTTCCTGTCTGACTGCCTGGCAGGTGAGATTATCGACTCTACTGTTAACCTTTCATACACTGATAGGAAGCAGCATCAGGAATATTTACTGATGGGAAAGGCTGCCTTTTTTGTGCAGGCTGGTGCATGGATCTGAGTGTGAAGTGATGCTCTTATAGAGAATTCTGTGGAACACATTTTGCTGAATTTACACRGCTGGTCAGAAATATTAGTTTTTTTTAGTTCCGTATTTTTTGTAGATAAAGCTGGTGTTTGATCAGTAGTTCTCGCACACATTTATTTATTCAAATTATATTAAAATCAGAGATGGAGCAGAAGTAATATTACATATCTGTGTCACGGTTGTTTTGCACATAAACCTTCTAACCATAAGCTTATTTGAAGATTCATTTAAAAGGATTGCTGCTGCTTTTATTATTATTATTATTATTATTATTATTATTATTGTTATTATTATTATTATTATTATTGTTATTATTATTATTAAATGTTTGTTTTTATCCATTCTCAGTGATTTTAGTGATGAAAGTGTCAGATACACCTGGTCACTCTGGTTCTTTTAGAAAAGTTTTTTTTTAAACCTTTCAGCTTTCATCCCACAAATTACCAGCAGCAGAAATGTGTGACCTCAGCTATCTTTGATTATAAAAAGCTAACTGAGTAAGATTCTAATCACAAAACACTGTTTTGCTGTTTTTATTTAAAAAAAAAACACACATTTTGTGTCTCATAGCAGGTATGACAAAATATGTAGTTATTTTTCAATCTAATTTTTTAAAATTTATCTCAAGACCCCAAATGAGATGTTTTGTGACCCACAGTGGTTTTCTGCACTGAGTGTAAATGTTGTGTGTTCATGCATCAGGAGTCAGAGGGTCAAGGCTGCCCGTTTTGCCGCTGTGAGATTAAAGGCACCGAGCCCATCGTGGTGGACCCCTTCCACCCGAAGGCCAGCGGGGCTTCCTTTGCCGGCTTCCAAGGGTCCAGCAGAGCAGAAGCAGCTGGAAACGACGAGGAGGAGGATGATCGCCTGGAGGACCAGCATCTTGTCATGAGCCGGCTGGCCTGCAGTAAGGTGAGACGGCCATCTTGTTTTAGTCAAAGTGAGCTTAATGATCTCACCGCAGGGACGGTGTGACGTCTTTAACTGGGTTTGTGGTTTTACAGGTTGAGCGTCCTGCTTCTCCRGTGTCTCAGCTGCCTCCGGTACCTCCACGGCTGGACCTCCTGCAGAGGTCCTCCAGCTCACATCCTGCTCTGGCTCAGGGAGCTACACCCAAGGCAAGTGGAAGTTATGTGCAAAGTCTAAGACCCCACCTGCTTATTTGAAAGGACTTAAATACGGATTCTTTTTTTTTCTCTCTGCCTGTTCTAAGCGGATTTGTCTGGCAGCAGATCTTTTGAAAGCCACAGTAATTCGTAACAAAATCCTTCTTTCTCTAATGGTGCAAACATAGTTTTAAATAGAAAATGACTCATATTTTATCAAGTTTGTCTTTGTGTTGCCATCTCTSTGCCAGGGAAAAGGGAAATGCAAAAGCCTACAGGGCATTTTTGTTCAAGTGTCCACATAATTTGACTATGACCCGTTGTTGAATCCTGGATGTTCTGCGAACTTGAAATACTTTCGTCCTGACTTACTGGACTTTGCCTCCCATTCTGTTTGARTTGACAACAGTCATTATAGAAAAGCCCAATGATACAGCTCATAACAGAGCAAGTTGGTTTTTTTACAGATACTAAGCTTCATTTAAATTTTTGATCATGCTTTTCATGATAATWCTTTCCATTCAGTTGATGGAAATGAAATGTTTTGTGTTTCCACTTTGGTGTTTGACAAAACACTGCAACTGCAAGTTACCTTAAAGAGTAGTACTCATTTATTAAACTTGAGYTTAACAAACTGAACCTTGTGTTCTATTAAAACATTTAACCCACATTGTTAGGACCATTATGGAAACAGGCAACAGTTTTGTTTTTTCACGCCTCATTTCCTGACATTTGTTGTGTGCAATTTGTTGCATATTCAATGAATGTCGGTACTTGTGTGATGAAAATAACCAAACATCAGTTAAAAACTTTAATCTGGAAAAGTCTGAGGTGTTAAAATGAAAGAAGTGTAGGAAGTGTGTTTTAAAAAGTACTTTGCTTCAAACATTAGTCCAAATACTAATTAGGGTTAAAGTAAGCAGGAAGTGTTTCTGTGGCAGCAGTAAGGTCTTCACATCTGTGCTGGTTTACGTCTCAGATCGCAGCCACTCACAGAGACAAGCCTCTACCTCCTCCTCCTGGTCTGAGAGATCCCCCCCCTCCTCCCCCTCCCGAGCGGCCCTCCCTCGCAGGCCAGGACTCCAGATTCCAGAGGAGACCTCTGCCCTCCACCCCGGACCAGCCCGCCTGGGCAGCCAACTACATGGTCCCACGTCCTGCCACCAAGGCCTCGTTGCTTCTGTCCTCCGTCCCTCCGAGCGGCGGCGGCGCCAACGGAGAGGCGACCAAACCTCAAGCAGTTACTAACGCCGTCTACTGCCTGGCTGCGAGGTAGGACTTATCGTGGACAAAAAAAGCACACAGGAAGTTGTTTTGTGGTCACGCTTCAGACTGGTGACTTTTGTTTGGTTGAACAAAACCTCTAACCTACAAGCAGTAAATGTGACTCAGCTGTGAGTCAGAGAGCTGCTGCAGCATCAGTGTACGTCCAAAACCAACACTTWGAAGCTGGACTAGAGTCTGACCAATTTTATTTTTTATTAATTCATTTTCTTTGCCTCTTTGGCTTCAGTTTAAACATCTGAAAAACTTAAAGCTTAGACGTCACCGAATACAGATTTCTTAATGAGATTTCATTTTATTTTGAGTTTTAACACCATAGTTGTAAATATCTAGGCCTAGTTCTTTTTTAATGAAACCCCACCCTGGTGATGTTTTCCTTTGTCCAGGTCTCTGCCACAGTCTGTGGTGTCGAGTGGAGAAAAACCATCATCAGATTCTGAGGAGAATGAATACATGAGCCCCACCTCCCTCCCAKTTTCCAACACCCCCTGGGTCTTATCGGGCTCGCTGGTGCCCCCACCGCCAACCCAGACAACCAACCACGATGACGTCAGGTACACAGAATTAGAGCAGCATTGTGCCAGTATTTATAAACAGTTCTGTTTGATTACATAGAGCTGATTTATGAGAAATGTCATCTCAGAGCTGCACAGAAAAGTAAGCAGGTCCACACAAACAAAAAATGTTTATTTATTTTGTGAACCTGACTTCCCAGACCTACTCTKAAGTTACTGGCTGTTGCTGATCTTAACCAGACAGCTAAGATGACTACAAAACAAATTTCACTAAATACTCCTTAATCTGTAACTTGGTGTGAAAAGCAGGGAGGCTTGTTGGAACAACAGGAAAATTATTGCCAAAGATACTTTAATACAGCTGGTCCCACTGCTGCCATACTGATGGCCTGTTTCCAGCACATTGTGSTTTATTAAAACCTTTGGGAGTCTTTTACAGAACTGCAAACATGTGTAGTTCTGGACACGTGTCTTCTCCCAGTGGCACGCACAGTTGCTTTTATTAAATAATGTAACTTTTCTTATGAAAGGAGCTGTAAAACTGATAATTTTCTGCTTTGGAGAGCTGTCACAGCTTGTTGCAACGCAGCAGCTGAAGCGAAGCTCACATATGCAAAACTTGAACACGACTCGTGGTTCTTAACCAAAGAAGTGATTTGGACATGGAACAGGATGTTGGATATTCAAATTTTCAACATTACAGATCAGATTATCAGTAAAGATGGACATATGTGGGAATCTTTTTAAATGTGAGACAAAATTTTCACCTTTACCTCTGACATGATACGGTTAATTTGTTATATTTTTAGAGTCCACTAGGGGGCTCCACAGCCATACATTTGTTTCTACTTTTTATAAAGTCTGCGATGTGGTTTTCATTGCCTTAAATAATTTAGGATGTTCAATTATGTGGGTTTTTATGGTTATTACGCTGCATGTAAAACTGTTTACACAATATACTTTACTGAATACATTGATTATTTTTCCAGCAGTAATATTAGATCAATGTTTTACAGATACAATACATCAGATGTCAGAAGCAACATGCTCAGCTGAAAGTATTATGTAAGGGTCACAAACAAAAGTAAGGGCTGTGAAATGATTCATTTGAATATTATTATTGTTTTCCTGCCAGCGAGGGGGACGACATCGACTCAGAGGACCCTCAAGTGTACGAATCCATGTTTAACATCCAAAGCCAAGCCAGTTCCTGTGAGACGACACAGACCAGTGACCCCGGTAACAACTCCTCTCCTCTCCTGTCATTATAATTATTTGTTCACYAATGTTACAGGAAACTGTTCCTTTTAAGTGATTTCTTTTTATTTAGTTATGGTGTGTGTTGTTTTTTGGCTTCATGATGTCCTCGTTGGGATGTTTGCTTTTCAGAGCACCCTCAGCATTCAGCTGTGGTTTCCCAGGAGAGGGAGGACGCGGATGTGGAGGATATTTATGGGTATGACTGTCCCCGGCCGGTCGTCCCTCCTGCCCCCACCAGAAGAACCGTGTCTGAGATCAGCTGTCCCTGCGCAGACTTGAGCTCTCTTAGCATGGCTGCTTCAGTAGAAGCTGGTTAGTGTTTGCAGTCTTTAAAAAGTATGAGAAGGAAAAAAAAACATGTTGCTGCGACTCGTGCAAAGCAGTTGAAAGTGTTGCAAGACATTTCATGAATAGTCCAGTGATTTACCACATCAACTGATGGTTTCTTTTTTTTAATCCCAGGTACGTCTGCAGCTGGGGTCGAACTTGAACGCCCCCCCAAACCTCTCCCACGTCGAGCCAACTCTGACCGACGGCCTCGACCTTTCAACCGGGACTTGTCCGCTCCGCTGCCGGAGCTGCCCGGTCCCTCCTCTGCCTCTCCCCCTCCTCTTCCTCCTCCTCCCCCTCCTGCTGCCGCCACCGCCAGCCCCGCGAGCTTGGCTCTAAACGGGGAGATCGAATGCCTGATGTCCCAGGGCTACTCCATCCAGGACATCCAGAAAGCCCTGATGATCGCTCAGAACAACCTGGAGACGGCCAAGAACATCCTGCGTGAGTTCGTCTCCATCCCCTCCACGGCGCACATCGCCACATAGTCACTCCCGTCCCGCTCACCCTCTGTGTCCCCTCCCCCCCTCCCCCCTGTCATCTCTTCGTGCCATCATCACGGACAGCATTTACCAAGCACTTTCCTGCAGAGGCCACAAGGACTTGCCAGAAGGACTTACTCCGAAAGAAAGCACAGCGTTCACATCAGATCTGAAAACAAAGCCTCCAAAGTCAATTGTAATAAAGTGTGTCAGGTATTATTAGCTTCTCTGGAAAAAAAAACCCCGATTGTTTTGATTTTGTTGGACAAGTGAAGCCTCCCAACCTGGAGATGCAAGGCTTCGGTCCAGACAGCCGGAGGTTCATGTCTCTGACGTGAATGCAGGATTCATGGAAAATGAAAGCCTGTGAACTGAGCTGCCTGAAGCCAAGTWTGTGACCCAGCTGCACTGAGGCTGAGGTAGAAAAGTGCTGTGGCAGAACCCCTCCCGCCCCGCCCCTAAACCCCAGTCTCTAAGTGCATTCTCTCATTAAGCTACGTTGACTGTTCAGCAGAAGGGCTCTTCTCTCTGCTGCCGCGGCTCTTCGATTCGGTGCTTTATGGGCTTCTTTGTGAACTGTGGCGTGGATGAAATTAGCGAATAACTCCGTGGCGTGCGTGCTGGTGCAGATGGACGTTCGGCAGCGATGGGCTTCATGTCGCAGTGTGGGCTCGCTCTGTTTCCACGGCATCCGACAAGTCGAGCTTAACTCCGTTCTCCTGGTTCAGCCGTGGTTCTGTGATGAAATGATTCTAATACTGAAGTACTCTCATAACGTGTTGTGTCGTGTGTAGTACTAACAATGGCTGAATTATGGCTCCTTTTTATCATTTCATTTCATGGTTCAGTAGAATGAATCTCAGAAGGCAAACCTGGAAAACAAGACAACAAAATCTAAATCTGTTAAACTGTTTTGATTTGATTTTGAGATCTAGCCTCGATGCAGCCGTGCATGCTGGGAAAAACCCAGRAAAAGCCCTGGTTCTATAATCGGACAGTTTGAGTGATGGTGACGCACTAATCCACCTCACACTAAAAACACAAAACACTCTAAATCCAATTCCTGACGTTTAGGATTTGGTGCCCAGTTTATTAGAAAAAAAGAAAACACTTCCACTGGTCTCCCTCCCAGCATTAACTCGTACACAGTTTTCTTTTTTGTTKTTTTTTTTCTTTTAGACACTTCCTGTAAACATCGGTCCCACAGTACCATGAAAACCCCGCCCCCCATCTGTCCCCAACTAATCTACCTCACTTTCCCCAAGTCACCAGTTCAAACATCGTACCCAGCAGTTTGTTGGCCTCAAAMTGAAACCACAACAAAACCACGTGTCAGATCCAGGGTCTGCCATCCTCAAAAACAAAAACTCACCACCTTTTTAAAAAAAAAAGCRTTGGACGTTTGAAAACGCGTCAACGTCCCTGACGAGTCGCAGCGTCGWCACAAAGCCAAGAACATGGTTGTTTTTTATTAAAAGCGTAAAATCAGCGTCGCTGATGAAAGGGTTAATGAGCGAAGAGCTCCAGGAAAGGTTAGAAAGCACAAACAGGGTGAAGAGGTTTGTCATGTGGACTCAGGTACTCTGTAATACAAACAGCTTAGATGAATTAACAGGTTCTGAGGATGATCCAACAAAACATTGTCATTCCTGAAGCGTTTCTTTTTTTTTTAGTTTATATGGCCACAGTTTCTGCTCTGTTGTTTTAGTCACTTTTACATCCTTGAGCTCGTTTTCCTCCTCTGAGTTCATCCTCTGGGTATTGTTTGTGTTGCAGTCATTCATCCACCGTGCAGCTGGTACTCCGCTTTGAAAGYGACGCTTCAGGCTTTAGAGCTGCTACAACATATTGGATAAAACTGAACTATTGCATGCTTTGAGGCAATGGTTAGGGATATTCCATAGGATATTTGTTTTGTTCAGTTTGGAAACATCAGCTCTGACATCGAGTCAGGAAATGTGAATGTGAAAACGTTGTTTGTTTTTTTTACATTTTTTTCTTTTTGTATTGAGTTTAAATAACGAAGCATTCCAGAAATGTTAGTGGGAATTATTTCTTAACTTGAAATCCCTGTTTTCAGGTCAAACATCAGATTTACATTTTTCAGATGTTTTTGGACAAGCTTTCAGCTTCCACACTTTTTTATCCTTTTTATTCTGTTTGATTCATAAAACTTTGTAGATGTTTTTATTCCAACACTCCCAGAAACTGCATGAAATTACTTTGTAGCAACGTAATACTTGAATTGGTTGACTTCTAAGTTTCTGTAGTGAATTTGCAAGAAAGAATGAGCATTAAGTCAAAAAAATCTTGCACCTTCTTCAAGAGAAAATTGTTACCCGAAATGTAAAAGAGGAATCTTTATAATAGTAATTAAAGAGCGATGCACTTGGCATTTCTGGAAAAGATTTATCAGAAAAGCTTTCTTTTCCTTTTGATTTATCTCCGTCTGGACTTCCCTTCGTTCATCTATTTTACGTCAAACTATTTATTCACAGAACTGGTAACATGCTCAGATAAAATATAAGAAAGACCTAAATTTGTTCGAAGCAGAAATAATTAATTTTCAGCTCCAGCACTGCCCCCTGCTGGTCAGTTGTTAGAATGCAGTTGGGTCTTTAAAATATGGGACTTTATTGCATTTACTTGTATAACGTTTTATCCATTTATTTTCTTGAAGAGCAGGTAACACTTTTCAAGAAAATGTTGTGTTTTCAGTGAATTACTAAAGTGAGGAAGAGTCCAGTCCATCGCTCCTTTTAATCTTTAAGGAAATAAATTGTCAGGTCTGCAGAAGTGCTTTGTTTAAGCAAAGATAAAAACAAATGAAGCTCCATCTCCACCCACAGATATAAGGGTGGATAAAGTGTCCTTTATATCCATAACTACAATTATTTTTCCTTACACTAGTCTCTCATATTTGACTCAGAAGTCCCCATCCTGCACAGGAACAGGAAACTTTGTTGGTTTTAATGTTCAAGTTTCTTCTTTTATGTAAATATGTCGTTATGATTGTGTGGGGTTAAAAAAAGAAAACATGCCTTGTTTATTTAAACATCTCAAAATGAACTATTGTAAGTTTTTTTTTTTTTAAGTGCTTTTCATCAGACTGAAGAGCTTTGAGCTGTTTTCCAGGTGGGAATGTGTCCTGCAGCTTTTAACGAGCTCAAACAGCAACCGTTTCAGTCTGCTCCTCCTGTCCTCAGTCCCTCTGCCCGACCTCGGGGTTTGAACTCTAACAGCTGCACTGTGAAAGCGTGGACATGCAAACACACTCCAGTTTATTCACGGTCTCGTTTACCCTCAGAGTCTTCGGTGAACTCGGCTCGATCACCCACGTGTTAACTGGCCTTCTCAGACAGAACTTGCCTACTAAAAAGTCTTTGCTTTATTGCCTGTGTAGATAYGATTTTATTTATTGTCTTTAATATCCTCTGCATTCATTGTGCCGCCATGTTTTCATGCCTAAGCCATTAAGATTTTTAATTAAACTGTATTTTCTTTAACATTTGGTCCGTGTAGTTTGTTCAGAATGATGCGAAGCTGYAGTTTTCTGTATCCTTAAGTATTTTTATTAAAGATATTAAATATTATTTCTTAGATGTATTAGTTGGTCATTTTTTGACCATTAGCATCAACCTTATTTTTGATTGAATTAGTAATCTGTTCWTCTAGCTGATAAATCTGGGTTTGATATTCTCCACCAGCTCTCAAATACGAGCATCTGTTTAAGACGTTAGCCGCCAACTGTCCCACAGTGATTACAGGCAGGAAGACTGATTGTTCACCTGCTTTTTTAGTCAAGGCCCGATGGTTAACAGTTGCTTTAAGTCTCTTGGAGAAATGCATGTCTCACATTTTGCAGCTACATCATTAGAGTGTGTTTATGAAGAGAGAAGACAGCTGGATTCTGCAGTTCRTATCAGACGAGCAGCTTTCATGAAGAGTCAGAACTGGTCAGATGTCACTCTGCAGGTGGAGCAGGAAGGATGTGCAGAAACAAGCACGGAGCGTTTTGAGGTAAAGTGGAAATGAATTCAGATGACTGAACTTTATGCTTGCAAAAAACAAACAAACAGTAAATACAAAAAAACTGTGTTTCACCTGCCACCTTTAATACTTGAATTTTAAATTTAAATTAATGTTCAGGGTTAATGTTGGAATCATTTAGTTCAAACCTTATGAAGATGTATAAACTCAYGATTTTGTGAGATTTCACTCTGTTAACAGCTCAGATCAACTAATTTTAGCACAACTTTCAGGGGCGGAGCTAGATTTTAYTTTGTTTTTTAGKGGGGCACAAATAAAATTGATTCAGCTGTTCRGAGAATTTTTGAGCTGAGTGTGTGATCGTCGCTAAAAATAATTAAAAAAACACTACTAGTCACAACTCGATGTAGCATTTTTTTGACACACAAAGCTAAAGATTAGTATTGAAAAAGCTAAAAACAACATTTAATAATCAAGATGGCCACCACAGCTAACTTTAAAAGGATAATTCAGTTATTTTRATACTTATTGAGATGAAATACATCATGGAGCTAATCCGAAACTAAGTTAACCACTAATGCTAATTTTACAAAGGGCTTTAATTTTTAATATATACAGCTAAAAATGTAAACAGTGCAGTAGTATGAGAAYAATCTTTAACTAAATCTAAATGTAAATRCAAACTTGTTAATTATTTGGGGGTGGCATCTGGGGTGGTCAGTCAGGTACCCCTCTGGCTCCGCCCCTGGCAACATTTATAAGACTTCCACCTTAATCAGCTGTACATCCTCATCCAATGATCTGAGAGCTTAGAGTTCACCCAGTGGTTCATGAGGTGTTTAGTAAACAGAAACATGACAGCAGGCAAGAATAAAACTATAAAAGATAAAAAATTTTTGTAGTGAGTTTCAGACTTTAGAGATTTAGGACATATTAAAGTGTTAAAAATAAACAAATGAAAGAACTGCTTCCRTGTTCAGATATTTAAGTGAACTTTTGAGGTTCTGGGCTCAACCCACTGACAGGAGTAACCACTCAGTAACAACCGCTCTGAAGTTCTGGACTCCAACCAGAGAAATGTTTCCTGTTTGCTGAATGAAAATAAGTGGAAAAGTTTCAGGTCCAACATGACAACACATCTGGGCAGAAAGAAGAAAACAGAGCTGAATTTGTCAGACGACTGTACCGTCACCACCTGGAGTTTTGAAGGATTTGCAGCAAACCGCCGGAGGCCGTTTGGTTTGTTTTGCAGCTATAAATTCTTTGCAGATGTGAGCTGAGTTTTCTGTCCTTCCTCCCTCCGAAGTGAGAAATCTGAGCTACTGTTGGAGTTGTTTCCAGTTCGCGCTGACAGCGGTTTGGAGTTTTATTTTTTTTTCTGCTTCCTCGAACACAGAACGCTGCTGAGGCCCCGAGGCTCCCGCTCCAACACCCCTCTGTACCTTTTTGTAAAAACAGGATGAGAAGAAACAGCTTTTCTTTAAACAAAACTTTTATTTGGCATTACTTTTTTTGCAAATCCCCAACAGAAAAAAAAACATAAGCATCAAAGAACCACATGTACAGTATCTATTTTACAAACATTTAAAAAAACAAAATAGTAAAGATCCGTTTCAAACTCTCCTCGCTCATAAATAAAAAACCTATAAAACCAACTAATGATGTCAGACTTAAAGACGAGGTGAAAACTCATGGATCCAATCAGAAATCTGAGCCATACCAACCGCATCGCTCCGAGCACGATGGCACTTCCTGTCTGCACGAGGATGACCAGCGGGGGGAAATATCAAAAACATGAACCCAAAAAATAAAAAATAAAAACTGAAAACATTTGTTAATGTTGCAAGTCATCAGGGCAGAATTCTAGCATTCTCAGAAACTTCAAAAAATACACATAAAATACACAGTGAGAACTTTTCACAACTGTAGCCTTTAAAAGGAGCCCAGCAGTGTTTTTGCATGTTTCAAATTAGGCCCAGTTTGTGGTTCATCCACTATAATTACATTTGACTCACAGAGCTGAACAATCACTTTACTGAAACATGAGGCTCCGACCGTCTCTGGAAAACCCAGAAGGTCACTCAGTGAACTTCATGCTTGTTGAACGGTCTGGTTTTAACAAACAGCCGTGTGAGATGAGAATAAGATCAAATCAACTGGTTTATGTTTCATTTTGTCCAACAATTCTGGCCTCATTTAGTCCTAACTTTGTTCTGTTTACCTGCACTTCAAATTGTTTACCTACAAAATAATATGTAATCATTTAGTTACATCAGTCTGTTGGTCCCGCTGCAGCAGAACTGGTAGAACTTGATTCACTCTTTCACAATAAAAGTCTCACACATACACTGATAAATACTCTAAAAACTCCTGCYGGCCTGGGCTGCAGTGTGTGTTTTACTGAGGAACAAGAACAGAAGCTGTTTTTAGAAGCTTAAAACACTCAGCACATCTTTGAGACTTTTATTGTGAAGGATTAAAACTATTTCTATTAGTTCTGCTGCAGCGGGAGTAATAAACTGCACCTGGACTGGTTCAGATTAAATCTGACATGTTATTTTATAGTCAACCTAGTAAAAGTACAATCATAAACCTCAGAACAAATATCTTTGGGGTTTATATTTTTCTTTTCTTTTTTTGTTTGACTCCAGTGTTGAAACAGAGGAACACAAGTCTGTGACTCAAACGTAATGATAAACTGACAAACTGGAGAGGACAGTGCACAGATGTTAAAATCTTGTTTTATTTGACGTGAACTAAACCTTAAACCTGACTAAAGGGATCCAGCTTCACAGTGATCATTCTGTCCGTTTTATTCCTGAACTGTCAAACGTGCAAAAACCCTGCAGGGCCTCTTCAGGCAGGAACCTCTCAGTGGCAACACAAAGAAAACAGATTCAAGACAAACAAATTCAGTGTATGATGTCCAAAAACCAGGCATGGCACATCTTTAACCCTTTCAGCCTCAGCGACAGTCTTCAGTTTGGTCCTGCAGGTCACTGAACTACATGTATTTACAAACACTACAAGAACCTGACAGCAGTTTGGAAAAGAAGGCCGCCAGTGTGTCTTTTTTTTCTCTMTCTCTTCGTAGAACTGATTATCCTGCAGGTTCACTTTAATGTCTCCTGATGCTTCAACACTCAAACRTGGCATTTGTCTCTGGAGCAAAAAAATCTTCTTGTTTTGGTTCAACTGGACCAGTTTCTACGAGTATTGGCAAACAAAAACRAAACATACACACTGCTGAATTTCTCAGAACAAGCCGTCACATCCTCTCAGCTCTCACCTGGATGTCTACGCTGCCGCGAAATGAAAATCGGTGCCAAAAAACGTCTTAAATAACAAAATATTTATAATATRTACACTTTCATTAAAAAAGGAAAGATGATGCTGATGAAACATCATCATACAAACACTAAACAACAGCCAGGAGCTGAACACAGCTGGAAACTAAATGAGAAAATACACATCTGTACAGACATACCTGTGAATGTGTGTGTGTGTGTGTGTGTGTGTGTGTGTGTGTTACTGGGATCAAACTGCTGAATACTGCTAAGAAGAAAGCGTGATGTGGGAGGAATGTCCAGACTGTGAGGACGTGGTGGTCTGCAGGTCTCGTGGTCAGTGTGAGCGTCCTCGGCCTCCTCTGACCGCTGCTCCAGGCGACCTGCCGTCTGCTGCGCGGGCGGCGCTGCCGAGCCGGCTGGATTTACTGCAGAGGACAGAGCAGAGCGTCAGAGTTACAGGAAGTCACTGTCCACACAGGAAGTGACGTCTGGTGTCATCAGCTGTTTGCTCCTAAACATCCTCAGGAGTTCCTGATATGAAAACATACAATAATAAATACAGAACATGTACAAATCTACCAACAGAGGTGTAAAAGTAACAAAGTACAAATACTTTACTTAAGTTTATACTAAGATAAAAACATCCACAACTATTTATATGTTTAAAAACACTACTAAGTTAAATTTATTGTGACAGAATGATGCTATGTAGTGTTTTGTGAAAATGTAAGATTTATTTTGTTGTTTTATTCTTGTTTTTATTTTATTTTCTTTAATATGGAGATTGTTCAAGTTGAAGTTGTTTGTTGTTGTTTTTTAATAAAGGGCAGACATTTATGATTTTGTTCTTTCCGTAAATAAGTAAGTAAAGTTTATTTATATAGCACCTTTCATAGATATAAAATCATAAAGTGCTTCACAATAAAAGCAAGAAAAAATTAAATACATTTAAAAGCATCACAAAGGCATTACATTCAAACAAAAGTACAGGTAATAAACAGGTAGAGAGAAAAAAGGCACCCTTTGCATTTAATCATTGATTTATTTTGTTTTTAAAGTACTTTTTTATGTATATTTTACCATTGTTTAACCAGGCCAATCCTTTTGAGATCACAGATCTCTTTTTCARGGGAGGTCTGGGCCTGAAGGGAAACTGCAGTAGCTGGAGAAAACCCACACAAGCATGAGGAGAACATGCAAACTCCAGACAGAAAGAGCCCAGGTCCAGTGTTCTTGTTTTCATGAATGAAATAAATGAATACATAAAATAATAAGTAGAAATTTTTAGTTATCTACACTTTACTTGAGTAATTATTTGTAAGCTTCTGCTCCTTACATTTAGAAAAGATGTCAGAAGTAGACAGTAGTCACTCCTGGTTCATTTTGCCTTGTTTTTAATCAGAYTGGGAAAAAATAAAAACCTATCCAGACAAACTGCACCTCCTGGATGGAGTGAAACTGGATGTTTCGTATAATCCATCACACGCTCCAGCAGGACCACACAGACATACTGTATGTAACTGAGGTATAACAGGAAGACTGCATTCTAAATGTCTTAACATTGGTATTTAAATATAAMATTACTTTCATTATGCCTTTAGGAAAATGGTTTTGGGGGTGGTCACCTCTCAGTAAATGTGATTTGGGTAAACAGCTCACTTTGACTCAATACKTTTCACTTTCAAGACTTAAATACATTTTAAATAAAAAAAGTACTTTACTTCAGTGCCCTAAATGTCAAATAACATAATTTCTAAACTATTGAGAGCACCTGGACATAAGCCACACCCACTATAGGCAGCACTTGTCTATAAGCTGCAGGTGTCCACATTGTAATGAAATATTTACGCAGGAACATGTTACACATATGATAACATCACATTAACGTTTTTGTTCTGAAAACTATCACTCACCACAACAGTTACCTGGTCATTAGGACCTTTCTTTTCTCCGTTGACGGCCTTCAGGAGGACGGCGTCCTCGTTCTTTGTGTTGGTCTTCATCTCCACAACAATGTCATCTTTGGTGGTCTTCTCTTTGCTGCTGCTCGTAGAAACACAGAACAGACATGTGAAGCACAATGACTGACTTATTTCTAACAGAAGTTAATGATTAACAACATTTGTTCTCGTTACTGCAGCCAGGTTTTAGTTTCTCCTGAGACACTCTGTCTGTTTGAATTTGAATCTCAGAGTCACAAGTTTTTTTTATTTTTACAAATCACCTGAAAGGACTAAATGATCTCCATTCCTTCAAGAAAAGCTACTTTTATTTATACAAATTAAATCTAAAAAGAAAAGTAGAGTTGTTTATAGTTATTGTTTGGATAAAAGTCAAACAGGAAACAGAATCCTGGCGTCAAGTCAAGAGCTGCTAAACAAGCCTGAGCTCTTCCAGGAGCATGATGATGGAGCACAGAGAGGCACAGGTTTGCAGTTTCTCTCTTGTAAAAATGCTCACTGTAACAAACAAAACGTTTGGAACAATAACCACCAGTCCATCACGTAACAGCTGGTTTGAGGATTAGAGGACACGGAGAAAAAAAGCAGCAGAGAGACGACGCTCACATTTCCTGTTTGCCTGAGCGTCCACAGGGGAGCTTTCCCTTCTTGTGCAGGAAGTAGAAAACGCTGCCGAGGACGGCGAGCAGCAGCAGACACAGGATGATCACCACTATGATCACACCACTGCCTTCAACTGAAACACACACATACTTCACATTTTAATTATGTTATAAGGGAGATACTGGTTGCTTTCAGTGACAGAAACAAAACATTTGAATCTTTATCATCTTTGATGTACTGCTCTGTGAAAACAATTTCCTCAAAACTTCCCTGAAGTTTCACTTTGACTTGTTTATTGATGAAAACAGATGTTGGGGATCTACAGCCTCTAGTTTAACTTGGATCTTCCACTAAGTGGCTTCATTAGTGCAAAACTTTTCTAAAGTTCAATTGTAAAAACAAGCAGCAGAACAAAAAATACAATTTATTTTTTCTCACCCTCTGTRACCTGTAGCTTTTATTTGAATACAATTATCATTTCATTTTAATAAAGTTATGTATCTAGAAAGTAAAAGCTCATTTTCTCAAGCTGAAATTTAAGGATAAAAAGTGAAAAACAATCAGTTTTACAAGAAAAAAACAACACATTTCCTTTGAACTCCTGAGGTATCAGATACCTGCCAGTTCAGAACTGAAATCTGAATTTTGGAATCTGAAACTGAATTATGGAAGTTGTCAAACTGAATTTTTAATAAACCAAAATACAGTTTCAAAGCAAATTAATTCAAATTAAATTCCAGCTGGCACAAGGTTTATCCCATAAAATCTTACCTGTAAGGTTTTTCTTTAAAACATATTTAAAATAACAAATAAAAACTCACATTTTCTGTTATTCAGGTTACAATTTGTTAGTGATGTTAATGTTAGTGCTTCATTCAGGAAAACTACAAATAAACACCAACAGGTTTTCCTGCCATCAAACTAAGATTCAGGCTAAACTGAAACCAGAACTAATTAACTGCAAGAATAAAAAGATGTACAGCAAAACAAATCGTTTGGATGTAGAGAATAATCTGAAAGAAAAAACTAGAAAATAATAAATCATGTTAACAGGTGTCAGAATTTTGCTTATCTATATAAAATAAAAAATATAATATAAACTAAAATCAGAAAACATTATATTTAAAACCTAAAAATAGTAAAACTTAAATGTGTATTCACATAATAATGACTTTTTCATGGTCACTACTTTTTTAATTTCTGGGCTTCACAGAAAGAAACAAAAACCAGAGAAATAAAAACAAAACAAAAAAAATTAACATTCTATTTTAAAGGTTTCAAACGAAACAAATAAAGCTTTAAATCAACCTAACTTTGGGAGAAACACCTTTAAACAGTTTATTTTCTTTTCCACAAGTTGTTTCTGTAAGGTTAAATTGTAGAGCAGTGTTTCAGAAATAACCATCACGTAATCACAAAGAACGTGAGCACATGCAGAAAGAAAATGGAGCATGCATGTGCTGGTGGAAGAAAAAAAGAATAAAGTAAAGATGGATTTTCTTGGACTGATCTTTTATTACCAGATGTGAGTCACACCTGATCTCCATCACTGTCATCTTTTTGTCATCCTTTGTAGAAGGCAATCTATGACCTATTATGGTCAAAGATTTTCTATTGCTAGAGTTCCACATTGGTTTCACAGAACCTTGTGTTCCCAAGGAGTCTCCCATCATTTTACTAACCAGTCCTGCTCCTGCTTACCCTCTGAGATCTTTAAGTTGATCTGGCCACACTAAATGTTAGCTGTAATAAAAGTGAGGAACTTTCATATCATGTTGTATATTACTTGTTAGCATGTCCGAGCTAATCTCCAATAAACAGATAAACATTAGTTGCTTCATCTAAACACTTTTCTGCACCTCACAGGAACTAAAGCAGTGACTCATATTAAGCAGCAACAGCTTCTGAAAACAGACACGACAGCAGAAATTAAGGAGCAAGAGTCAACCCAAAGCAGAAATGAAAGATTTCAGAYCAGCGTCAGCAACTTTACCCGTCACCAGAAGAGAAACAGACATCACCGAAGTGTTTGGTAACATCCTAAATCCTGTAAACTCTGAGCCTCCATCATTAATTCAACAACTCATCTTATCTTGTCAGTTCTGGTGCACAAAGTAAAAGTTCTGCATTTTAGAGGTAAAAATATTGGTGTTGATGTACTTTAAATMCTTTCCTCTTTATATTTAATGATGCAGATTATGTTACTCCAGCATGGAGTAGATTAATGTCTGTGCAGACATCAACACCTCAGCAGCTCACTCCTTATTCAGGTCTTTTCATTGAGCCAAGTGTTGATGATGTAATTCAGTCTGACTACAGTCATTATTAACCACAGTAAACATTTAGGAAAGCAATAAAAACTATAAGTTTATATCTACTTTACAATGTTCCCTGCATATTTTGTTCCTCCTGCGTCTCCATGTATTCCTCAGAGCCCTGTGGAGATTTAACACTAACAACTTGATTGTTAGATTAGGTCAGAAAACATCCCATAAATTTGCCTTTTAAAATAATTCCATTGGTATTTGAATAAATGAGGTTAAAATGTAATGAGTTTGCTTTAAACATTCTGGGATAAACAAATAGTGTTTTACTGCTGCAGCATTTTATTTTATTTATTTATATTTGTGATCCGAGTATCCGTCTGATGGCTGGCGTGCCTGAATCTGCTGGTGTTAAGATTTCTCTCTCCAAATCAAACAGAATATTTCATACAGCCAAAGGCTATCCCAAAGATCCAGCAGCCCAGTAAAGACAAGCGGTGCGGTGGAATGCCTGTAAATAATGTATGATCTTTATTGTCACACACACATGAGAGCGAAAAGCGTGAACGTGGAGACAGAAGACAGTGTTTGAGCTGGAGGAAACTGAAAGGCTGCAACATGAAAGAGACTTCAGGGCAGTTTTCTTACCAGGAGAGAAGGGAGACGTTGTTGTGACCCTGGGAACTGTGAACAAGTAGAACAAGACTTAGAGGTCTGAGACCACCGATATCAACCCGACACACAAACACGCACAGGTTTTATTTAATCTGAGTGGATTATTTGCCCCGTATTCCCCTGAAGGGGAGAGGATAACAGAAAGTGATAAATATTAATATAAAACAAACATATGTGCAAAACATTCATAGTTTTATATAAAGAGGAATAAAGTGGCTATTCTTTCATTCAGTCGTACTTATTGCAGAAACAAAATTTTATTTCTTCACCTTTTATCCGCCATTTTATTTATAAATCTATACAATACCCATCAGAACCTATTTCATTATTTTAAGTTACAATCCAAAATAAATGCAGTTACCATGAAGAGAACTGAGAAAGTGATGTTCACTGCAGGAGGAGCTGCAGGGCTGAAATGTGCTCTCTGGCTTTTTAGCTGCAATAAATTATAGAATGAACTGCAGCCTTCAGTTTTACCACAAAGACTGTACAAAGATGCACTGTCTAATAAAATAATACATGCAGAAAACTAAATATGCAGGATTATTCTTCGTCAAACTCACTAAAAGCTATAAATGTACTGTGGCGGTAATAATCAGATTTATGCCAAACCTGATCAGAAGAATTCATTTAACCTCAAACATCATAAAAACAGTGAAGTCATATTTTGAATCCCACCATGAAAATCCTAAAAGAATGTTTCAGAATGTTCTGATTGATGCAACAAAGTTTTAGTTGAACACGTTTACAAAATTATGAAGTTTTCTAATGTTTTTTATTTCATGTTTGGAGCCATAATGCAGACACAGACAACCCACAGCTTTAAAAACTAAGAAAATTTTCCTTCACAGATCTTTTAATGGACCTTATTAATGCAGTTAGACTAATTGGAAAACATTCTACTCTATCAATTAACACACGTTTTTAAACTTGGGCATTAGTGAAGACGTGTTTTCACTTTAGCTGCAGTTTCTCCTCTAATCACGCTACAAGACCTTTTTTCTTTTTAATTACGAGATTAAATTTATAATACAAGAAAAATATTCTGATTAAAAAATATTGGTGGTGCTAATACCCCATCAAACACCACAAAAAAGGAGCGTAGAGAGAAAACTCAACCACTAAATGATTCAAAAACAATAATATATAAGAGAAAACATCTTTTTCTTTGTAATTCTTCTTTATTTTCCTGTTWTTGCAAATATAACAGCAGAGCTCCTGCAGTCTGTCTGTCAGGCAACAGAACGAATTATAAAAAAAACAAAAAAGTCTGGCATTAAAAGGCAGGCAGCAGAAACTAAATAATAAAAAAAATCTAACCCTAAAAACTTACTTGAGGTTGTAGTTTCATTACGCAGAGAAAACAGACACTCTTTTCACTCAAAGTTAATACATTTCAACAAACTAAAACCTTTTTTAACACCAACAAGCAGCCCTGTCAAACAACAAAAACCTACATTAAATAAAAGCTAAGAGACTAAAGAAATATTATTATATTATTATTATTATTATTATTATTATTAATTAGTGTTTACAGACAAACGTTAGTGATTTAAAAAGTGCACACAATTTCCCTCATAATTCCAGTTTAACAAAAGAAAACAACAGGTTCTTACTGGCTTTGATCCTGAAGGCCTTGACTTCGGCGCCCATGTCGTTGGAAGCGTTGCACAGAGCGCTGACGTCCGACGTGACTCTGACTGACACCATGCTGTGAGTCATGTCATCGTTCTCTTTGCTCAACACTTCCTGCCAGTTCTACAGAAAATAAAATACAATTAAATACAGACACATTTGAACAAATTAAACGAAAAGCGTTCTCAATCAGTCGCAGCTTGGAGGTTCAGATCTTAGGGTCCAGATTTGTGTTTCTGTGTGAGGACCACCTGACTGCCCACGATGCTCCAGGAGATGCTGGGTGTTGGATGTCCTTTAGCCTCGCAGCTCAGGTTCACCATCCTGCCAGCCACCTCCTCCAGCTGCACCTCCTCTTCCACACCCACCAGCTGGGGACCACCTAGAAGAACACGTTAAAATGTTTGTAACAGAACCTGTTTTAATGTGCAGATTTGTGTTAATAAAGTTTTCAAAAGCAGAAAAAGATGAACATGTGAAGAAGTTGAGACACTTTGATTAGAACTAGACTGTGAAGAACAGATCTGAAGCTGAGCACTGAAGGTAAAAGAGAACTTGGTGAGTCGGTGCAGGAGCTGACTGACCCTGGACGATGATGTGAACGGAGCCACTGGTGTGCAGGCTGGGCAGACTGGGGACGGTCACCTTACAGGTGTACACCCCACTCGTTTCATAGGTGGCATCCTGCAGGTGGAGCGTGTTCCCCTGACCCACCTGCTCCGTGTCCTGGACCACCAAAAAAACATCAAAACAATGAGCTTAAAGAAAGGAGGCAACATTAAAACCTGACTTGTGCAAGATTATCTTTAAGTAGCTGCAAAGCTAATATGCAAAATAAATGCTGCAACACTATGAGCCCATTTTCTGTGGTGGATCATTTTACTGGATGTTTCTATTTTTTTATTTATAAAAACAGCTCATTAAAAAGCAGGGAATGTGGTCAAATGAGCAAATAAAAATCCAGCTTCTCTTGCACAGGGCACCCTCTAAATATTTAATCAAAACTCGTAAGAACTAATCTGACAAGAATAAATTAAATGTTTTTATGTTTTAGCAGCTTATGTTGGTCAGGATGGCTCTGTGTTTAAAAAAACCAAATCCATGAAAACAAATTATTCATTTATGCATGTTTTGATATGAAACTGCTCTACACTTGTGAGCTTATGTGGCCAGTTTAGTTACTACAGGTCAGCACAGATAAATCAGGATAAGGCAGAAAACACGCAGAAAAAGCACGTTTCGATTTTCTGCTACCTTGTACCAGACGATTGTTGTTGCGAGGGAGGACAGAGCATTACAGGTTGCAACCAGATCTTCCCCTTTAAACATAACCTCGGAGTCTTTGGGCACGACAACAGCTGGGTCCAAATCTGAAACATTACAAAACCAGACCGAGAACAAGACATGGACACGAAACAGAGACATTAATTCAATGGTTTGAGTTACATTTTCTGTTTAAATAGTTAATCTGCTTCTGTTTTAGGTAAGGCAACATTTACAGTTTATAACGTGCTACAAACAGATATGCAGTAGAAAAAGGTTTATGAATTATGTGGTTATGAACTGAAACAAATACAAAGTCTAAACGAGGCCTTGCTGGTGTCTTTCAGGTCACAACGTGAACTCCTTTTGTTTTAGAAACCTGCACTAAATCCAGCAATCCAGCACAGCGTCCATTCATTCAAATGTTTTGATGCATCTCAGTAATCCAGGTAGAAAAAAATAATTAGTAGGTCCTCTGGACACATTACAGCTAAGACTGGTTCACCACAAAGATCAGGTTCCCTGGCACAAACAGAGTAATGTTGTGTATGCTGTTAAGTGCCAGGACTGTGATCAGTTATACATCAGGGAAACAAAACAAGCACTGATCAAAAGAATGGGCGAACACAGACGAGTAACATCATCAGGACAGGACTCTGCAGTTTGCACTCATCTACAGGCCAGGACTCTGCAGTTTACACTCATCTACAGGCCAGGACTCTGCAGTTTGCACTCATCTACAGGGCAGGACTCTACAGTTTACACTCATCTACAGGTCAGGACTATACAGTCTACACTCATCTACAGGGCAGGACTCTGCAGTTTACACTCATCTACAGGACAGGACTCTGCAGTTTACACTCATCTACAGGCCAGCGGTCACTCTTTCAGGGATGAAGATGTTCTCATCCTTGATAAAGAGGAACGTTGGCTTGAGAGAGGAGTAAAGGAAGCCATCTTTGTGAAGAAAAACCGTCCACCATTAAACAGAGGTGGAGGCCTTCGTGTCCAGTTGTCCTCCTCCTACAACGCTGTTATTGCAAGTATGACTCCGCCCCCTGTGAGCAAAACGTGTGAATCAGGGCACTAATGACCTGTCGTTAGGCTCATAGTCCTCCTTTGCATGTGAACAGACAGCATTGATGTTCGTTTGGACAACATGTGGAGGCAGTGCTTATAAGGCTGAGTTCACCTGAAACTCCTCAGACTGAAGAAGTCTCTTGGAGGAGAGACGAAACATTTCACTAAAGAAGAACCCATCCAGAGGACCTACTTAAATTTTTTTCATTCATTCAAATGTATTTCCTGTGTGTCTCTGTGTGTGTGTGTCTGTGTGTGTGTGTGTGTTGTTCCTTACAGTGCACATTGAGCTGCATTTCTCCTTTGACCTCGGCGTGACCGACGGCGCCCAGAGGTCGACACTGGTAGACGCCGCTGTCTTTTCGTGACACAGAAGGCAGAACCAACACGTCCCCACTGCTCTCCAAGTCCGCATCCGGCTCCTGAAACCACAACTCTCAGTTTAAATCAGATCTAAAAAAAAAGATAATGAGATAAAATAAAACATGCTTTCTGTGTCTTGAACATGCTGTGTGTTAAATAAGGAGCTGTTGATTATAGTCTGACTGGGTTATTTATTTAACTACATTTTTGAAGCTTGAGTTTGTAGAAGCTTTTTTTTAATAAGCGGCACTTTTTCATCTATGACTTGATTTGCTTTTTTATGTATTTTACTGTATATAGTTAGTTTAAAGAAATGAATGAATAAATGAAAAAATGAAAAATATTACAATGAATTGAATAGAACTGGAATATACGTAACTGAATTTATTGAATTATAACTGGACTTAATTAAATTCTACATAACTGGTTTGAACTGGATTCATTTTCCTGTAAAACTTCTTGAGATAACTTTAGTTGTAAAGTGGTGCTTTATAAATAAACCAGTTTGAACTGAACACACTGGAATACTGATGCTCTACTTGTACTAGTTTTCAACAAAACATGGAAATTAGGCACTGACTGGTAAGGCTTCACTATAAAAGTTATTTCTATAAGTTTTTGTTAGATGATGGAAAGAGCTGTTTGCAGTGCATATTTAATAGCTCAGTAATATAAACATTAGCTCATTCTTTAAAATTATTCAAATTAGTTATTCACACATGAATAAATTTTAAAGTAAAAGAATCAAAAATTGTAAACAAAATAAGCAGCCCACAATTACAATGTTTTATATAAGAAGAGGTTACTTTTTAATAATCCTGGATTCATTATCAAGATCAAATAATAAAATTACATTTCAGAGAACCCCCCTTTACAGTCAGAAACACAAAATACACAATAAAGAACATTAGCATAAAATGTTATTAAAGAGATCCTGGCAGCAAACTATATAACTGCCTTTATTTTTCACAAACAAAACAAAATCTAATTAATGATTGGGGAAGGTTTTGCTTTCTTATTACTTTTTGGGATTGTTAGTGTTAATGAGAGGTTTTTATTATTATTATTATTATTTAATGGTAGGTTTTTATTATCAATTCTTTGTTTTTCCAGCACATAATTGTTAATGTAATGTACTGGAATCAACACGTTGAATAAATTTACACAAAGTCTTTCATGTCGTCTAAAATGATTATTCTCTCATATCTTTGTTACAAAAACCCTACAAGTTTGGTGACTGACCAATTAGGAAACGTTCAGACAGCCGTCAGCTGAGGTTTTGTGTTCTGCACACAATGAATGTGTGTCTGACATGGGAATGGGTCTGACTCTGGTCTCAGACTCTGGTCTGGACCTGCAGGGTCAGAGCTGACAGAGTCTTCATAGACCTTGCACACTTGTGTCTACGTGGAGCCTCGTCAGCCGTGCATATCGAACTCATTCCCTGCACGTCTCTTGTGTGTCACTCATTCTCTCTCTGGGAGAAAAGCTCCTCCATTCTTACTTGTTCTCTGCTGAAAACGAAGGGCGGCGGGGGGTTGCCATCGCCCTGGCAACGCAGCTCCACGGTATCCCCCTCTTGGACCAAGCCCTGGGGCGAGTCCTTCCGCAGCTCCACCGTGGTGGTGGGGTCTGCACACACACACACACACACGCTTATTCAGCGAGCTGTTAAAGTCACTTTATACAACCATTTCTATACTGCTGACAGCACAGACTCTGTTCTGCTTCCTCTTCCACCGTTTCATACAGAACTGTTCAAACAATGAATCAAAGTGGGAAAAAACAAGACATTGTGGACAATATAGATTTGTTTTAGTTCATTGTTATAACCAAGATAACGTTTTTTTTTGTGTGTGCAGATCTACGGAAACATGTCAACAATGGCAGCATCCATGCAAGGAGTCCAACAGTGTGGATGCTTTGGTAAGCTCTGTATTTATGTTCTTTGTTTACATTCAGTGTGAACCCACACTTCAGAAAACCCTTTCAAATATTTRGACAGAAACAAATATTGAGGAAACAGACAACTCATGGTTGAACGTCAAGTTAGACGCCACAAAATCAAATTCAGAGCTGAATCTGAAAATCAGAACATTTGACTCCTTCTAGCATCATTTTTTATCAGCTTTACAGATGTTTATCACAACTGCTCTGRATGTGCTGGTTAAAACATTTCCAAACGTGGGTGTTTTATGACTAATATTCCACTGACAATGTGCAGCTTCAAGTACATTAGCATCTGTTACAGCCAGCTGCAAAATCAAAACAGACYCCATAGAAACTGCACTCATTCACCTGTCAAATAAAATCTGTATAAAATACAAATAAAAAAGCAACTTAGTGACACAAATAAATATGAATGCAAATGTGCAAAATAAAAAATAAAAATAAAAATCAAAAATTTTACAGGCTAAGAAACATTACAATGCTGTAAGATTTGTTACAAAAAAATTGTTAAAAATACTTTCAAACTACGTTTTCAGTAGAAATGAAGACAATTTGCTACTAATATAACACAACAAGTTATGTTTACCTAACTGCACAAGAAAAGAAACAATGAAATGAACAAATTAGGGAYTCGTGAGGCAGTTATGGCAACAATTACTGTCAACAAGTGATGTGAGACACAAACCATTAGTGGCAGATTAGTGGTTCAGTGTTCAACCACAGGCTTACATTACAGCCGTATAAAAAGCTGCAGGACTCACAGTGAACCGTCACGTTGACTCTGTGGGAATCCATCGTCCTGACGGCTCCTGGGACAGAGAAGCTGACCTCACAGAAGAAAAAAGAGTCCTGGTCCTCCTTGACCACCTTGTACTCCAGCGTACTCTGGACTGAGTAGAACCCGCTGGACTCCCGGGTGACCAGAGTCAGCATGTTTACATCTGCAACAAATGAACCCACCGTCACCACAAGAAAGTGTTCATTTCAGCTTTTTGCTAAGAAGAAAATCCTCTGTTTTAAGTGTTTTACATGGTGATGAAACTAAAAAGACATGAAGGAAACCCTCTGAGTGGCTCAAACTCACATCCAGGTTTGGGCATCAGTGGTGTTTTRTTCCTGTACCAGGTGATGTTGGGTTTAGGGAAGCCGTTTCGAACCTCACATGACGCCACCTGCATTGGGGTTCCATTAATAATTATTCATCAGGMAGTGAGCTTTTGTACCASTTGGTAGAAATCAAATACTGATCCTGAATATTGTTGTTTGTTCACCTCTAGATAAAGTTTGCCCACCTTAGATGGCGCTGTGTTGGTCACAGATATTCCAGTTAAAATGCCTTCAATGACTGGAGCCTCGGGACGAGCTAATCAGGGGAAAAAACTTTGTAACGGCTGCATTTTCAACAGCGTTGGTAAAAGTTTGACTCTTCTATTTCGTTATTATTTTTGTTTCTTTTCCTTACCGAACACTCTGAGGTGGGTCTTCCCCTCGGCGTTCCCAGCTGCCAGCCCATTAATTTGGCAGAAGAATTCCCTCTCATCAGAGAGCTGAACGTTCTGAATCAGGAGCCTGGTTTCTTTCTGGTCTGAGGTCACATTAATGCGGCCGCTGTAGTCTGTGTTGCGATCAATWATCTGCTGAGTGCCGTCGCTGTAGAAGATACGCATCCGTGCGCGGTTTCCTGCAGATCTCTAAAAAAAAACAGAGTCGGTCAGGACACAACTTCACTGCAATGAAACAAACAGCTTTGATTTACAATGGTGTTAAAAACAATTAATAAATAAGAGAGTGCAGCCGAGAAATATTTTCTCATTTTACAACTTAAGTTTCTGATTGGTGTATAAAGTTAGTTTTAAAAATGTGTTTAAATCTTTTATAAAAAATGTGTAACGTTTAGTGAAAATCGATCAAGAAACTAGAAATCACATGACAGTAATGTCTATTAGTCACTGTTTCATTTTTCAGTTTCAAAAGAAAAAAGGTTTGGTTGGTTTTTCATTTATTTTTAAACTAAATTATAAAATTGCAAAAAATAAAAAATGTAGTTTTTTTCCACTTTAAATGGTTAAAGCAAAGACAAGCTTTATATTTTCTTATTGCACCATTTTTTATTTTCTGTCAGAATCAAAAATCATCATGGTCTGAACTCCTGGCGTTTCTCGTTTCCACTTTACAAACAAAGGGAATTGACACATCTTATTAAGAGCTGATGTTCTTACCGTGACAAAATTGCATCAATATTCCAACTTAAGCAGAATAAAGTTGGAGCGCAGTCATAGCCAACATCTTTAGTAATGGTTTATGCTTTTAGGCARTCTTCCAGCCATGATAAACTCTTCGTATTTGTTGACTTCTGTCATGTCTGCTATTGCAACATATTAAACAACAACCATATATTTTGTTGGGATTTAGAAAACTGAAGAAAAACCAAACACTGTGAAATTTTTTTTAGTTTGATTTTACATTTAGGTTTTGAAAAYAATAAAAATTCACGGTTGTTTTCTTTTTGTGRTTTTATTTTGAAAAGGAAAAACCAAAGAACACAGGTTCTGCAAGAGAAGAGCTGGAAGACGGGCAGCGTTACAGCTTAGCTTCACTCACCACAAACCACTGGATCATGACGAAGCGGGCTTCATTCTTTGCATCGGTGAATCTGTAATGGCAGGGGATCTCWGCTGAGTCACCCAGGTACACCTCCAGATTCTCATTCACAGTCAGCTCCACTTTGCCCCACGCTGAAARACACATAGAAATGCACATAAATCAACTCCAGTTGCCCCACATTATTCACAAAMCACAGAGAGACATAAATAATACTTTAACCAAATCAAACATCCTTTTGACTGTGGTTCTGCTTATATTTGACCTTTAACTTCCACTCTCAAAGTGCTGTGTTTGGCAGACGACCGTCTTCCCAGGCCAATCTGGAGACAAGCTGCCATGTTCGTAGAATAAAGAAGAAAAGGCTTCTTGTCCACATGGCATTATATTCATCTTTCTTCTGCCCGGCTGACTGTAACCACAAACCCACATCTTGGCCAGGAAATCCGTTCCCTTGGCATCGATGGGGGGAATGCGAGCGAAGCGAGGCTCGCCAGTTCGACACTAGGCTGTCCGATCAGACTGCCAAGAGCTTTTTCAGCCGTGTTGAACTTGGCTGCTGTTCTATAGGGGCCCATTCACACCATGACAAATAAAAACAAGGATGGCACCAAGAAAAACTCTTATCTGATGTGGTTTAGAGGATGGTATAGATTGCTCTTTGTCTGACGTTGTCAGATGTTGAGATGATCAGTGTAGTGTAATCTAATGTCCTCTTTCCTCTTCAGTTTATGTCACTGTAGTTTTTCATTATCTTCTTAATTGTGTTAAACTGACATCCAAAATATTTTGTTTCTTCTTTATGATTAGAGATATAGTAAGACAGGGTGCTAATTGTTAAAAATACTTAGCTACATAATGAAGAGTGAAGGAAACAAACAAAACTACAGCTTCAGGCACAGCAATTATCTTATCATCTTATCTTTGTCTGTGTCCTGTCCTCCAAGCAGCTTCAGGTTCAGCTGGAGGTTTCTTCCTGTTAAAAGGGAGTTTTTCCTCTCCACTGTCGCCAATGTGCTGCTCAGGATCAAACACTGTGATGAAGTGATTCAACATAATCTGCTGCTTCTTTAGATTGATTGTTTTTTTGTGTACAGTGCCCTGAGACGACGTTTGTTGTGACTTGGCCCTATACGAATAAAATTAATTGAATTGAATCTATTTAGTGTTTTTGAGGTTTAGTTTTTTTTTTTGTGGATGCCAGTAAAAGCTACTGCCAGTCACTCAAAACAGCTGCACCTTTAAATGTCACCATAAAGGTTCTGAGAAAAACTGGTAAAATAATTTCAGAAAAAATATACATTTTAGAGTATCTGAAGAAATCAAATTAGTTTTTCTTTTTCCCTAACTGCACACTATAAAGTCTTACACATACTCCATCCAAACCCAAACAGTCAACACGCTGACATGCGGTCACGTGGGTTCAATTTTTTTTTCTCACAGCTTTTATATCTCCTGAGACACACCGAGCCGAGCTCCTGGGAAACCCCTCCCGCTGCGGGATACATCACTGCACGGGGTCCCGTCTACACTCTGGAAAAACTAAAAAATAAAAAAAACCTCTGATTCACAGTTATTTGTCCAGTTAAATTCCTCTGTATACGAGTTTTTTTTTGGTCATTTCACCATATTTGTAAATGTCTGCTTCTGTATACAACAGTTGGATTCTGAAAGCGAGTAGTTTATGTTTATACGTTTTTTTTTAGAAGAGAGTAGTTAAAGCAAAATGCAGCGTGTGAGTGCTTTCAGCATAAACAATCATGGCCACAAACTAATCACACAGTCAGTTCTTATGTGGAGGAGGGTAAGCGCTTCGGCCGGCAGGTTGGGACAAGAAAGGGCRACAGATTTGAAGCTGCGAACAGAATGACGCCATTTTCATCATGAAACTGCGACGATAAGATGATATCGGCGGTTTGGATGGAGCAGGCAAAGGCCTTTATGAAGCAGTACACAAAAGAAAAAAAAATCTTATGACTGAGCGTAAAAAATGTTTCACATCTAATCCAAAAAGATTTGTTACTTTTCAAAGTGCAAAACCTTGGATGAAGAAAAAACATCATGAACTGTAACCAGATATTAATGTAGGTCAGTTTAACACTGCTACACATAAGTGGGGATAAAACAGACGTCCAGCTTTTGTTTTTATCTAATAGCCTTAAAATAGAAAGAAAAACAATTAGGCAAAGCTGGACCTGTGTCCTCRTACATGTTCTCAGCGTTGGTTGAAACAGACCAAGCATGAAAAGAGCTTTAGAAGTCCAGTTGCCACCCTGCTGCCTCCATTCAGCCTTTTGCTCCCCCATCCCCCCCACTCCCCCACCT